AAACTAATAATAGCATTGTAAATTTATGAGATGATTTTAACAGAAAAAAAATTATAGAAGAATATAGTTATTTTAATTGTAATATTACTAACTGTAGGGTGAGAAGGGGGGTCCCGTGTGGTGAACTATGTTATAGCTTGTTACTCACAGTTTCTTTTTGATCATTTTTTCGGTCTCTGAGGTGAAACGAGTTATTATTAAAATTTGTAAACTCACATATGCATATTGTATATGTGTGGCAGTGCGATCACGCTTTGTCTTGGAATTACATTAAACTGTCTGGAATCCCTGTGCATTCGCCCGGCTCTTTTGTTCCAGCACCTGACCGGGTACGGGACCAAAGAGGTTATCGTTCCGAGTAGCATCTTACGGTTACTGAGCCCTTCAGAAATGATTCCCAAGGTCTGCAACCCACCGCTGCGAGCCAGCCGAGATGCCCGAGGCGCTGGCTGTCGCTGCAGAGGGGGCTTGGTGGCCTCCCAGCCCCTCCCCCTCCCACCCGCTGCCCAACTCCGGCTCTGAGGCCTGAGCCTGGCTGTCGTCTGCCTACAGGAGCTTCCCAGCATGCGCTCGGACCTGGGTGCGAGGTGCGGCCTTCCTCTGCCCCAGTCCTGCCCCTCACCGGGCTTCCGGCTCCCTGGGACCCCCGCCCCCGCTTGAGCCGTGAGCTCCACAGCACCCCGCCCGAGCCCCCACCCACAGCCGCCACCTCCCCGCGGCTTCCCAGCTCTCTTTACAGTAACAGACATTACAGGAGATGGATCCTTTTAGCCGCTGTAAAGTGTACAGTTGGTGGCTAAACCTTTCAGTGCTGTGCGACCATCACCACTATTTCTAGAACTTTCATGGTCCCAGACAGAAGCTTCGGGCCCACTGAACAGTAACTCCCCTTCCCAGCCCTTGGCGGACACCTTTCTGTTTTCTGTGTCTGCATTGGCCTGTTCCGGCCACTCATGTACGTGGAATGGTGCACGCTGCCCTTTGCTGGCTTATTCCACTGACCAGTGTCTCACGTTCATCTGTGTTACAGCCTGTATCAGAGTTTCCTTTTTAAGACTGAATAACCCCTGGCTGGTGTGGCTCAGTTGTATGAATGTCGTCCTGTGCACCAAAAGGTCGCTGGTTCTCTTCCCCGTCAGGTCACATGTCCAGGTTGCAGGTTCGATCCCAGTCGGGGCACATGCGGGAGGCAACCAATCAATGTTTCTCTCTCTCTAAAAATCAATAAAAACCTATTTTAAGAAAACAAAGACTGAGGAGCATTCCGTTGTGTGTCTAGACCACATTTTGTTTATCCGTTCATCTGTTGATGGGTAAGTTAGTCTCTACCTTTTGGCTTGTGCGAATAAGGCGCTGTGAACACTGGTGTACAAGGACCCAAGTCCTTGCCTCCAGTTCGTTCAATCACATACAGGAGTGGAATTGCTGGATTACAGGAGCCGCCAGACTTCCCCACAGCTCTGCACCATTTTCCATTCCCCCCAGCAGCACCCAAGGGCTCCTCACCCCACACTCACCACGGCTCCCAGTGCCAGTGTTCCGGGGCCTCAGGACCGCCAGGCTCCTGGTCTCATGCTTCCCAGCCAGCCTAAAGCCCACCCACCTTCTCACCTGGACCCTCAGCTCCCGGCTGTACCCACCTGCTGTGGATGGAGTCAGCCACCTACATCTCTGCTCCCACACCAAGCTCCCGGGCATCTGGAGGCCTCCCAGCCCTGTGGACCTGGGCCAGCCTTTCTCCTGCTCCTCGGCTCCCTCTGTGGCTCAGGAGAAATCAGGTCCCCGCAGAGCTCCCGCAACCCCACGCCCTCCCACAAAGCTGTCTGCCTCGCGTGTCTCTCCCTTCAGCCTCAGGAAGGAGGACCCCATGCCCACCTCGTGCCTTCCTGTCCAGAGCTCGCTCTTGTCTAGCTCCTCTCCTTGTTTTGGACCCTCAGGCTTGCTCACGCCTATGCCCTACAGGAACCAACCTGCGTCGTCTCCCGGAAGCTTACCCTCCTGCTCCCGAGGAGGTAGGTGTCCTTTGTCCCGGGTCCTAACTCCTCATGCAGGATTGTCATCATCCTTCCCCGCAAAACCAAAAAATCCTTGCAGGTAAGGATTTCTCTTTCGTCTCTGTTTCTAGGGCATCTACTACAATGCCAGGCACAGAGTGGGTGATGAATAAATATTTGGATAAGTGGACAAACTTCTCAGCCTGTTTTCATCACCCAATCAACCCCTGTTTCTACTCTCCACATTCTGTGTCTCTCAGCGTTCAGGTAAGACCAATGAAATCCTAAACATGGGCAATACTCGAACGTGGGTTAAAATCAACTGAGCCAAAATTCAAGTTCCATAAAAATCCATGCAAAAGGTTTGGATAAAACTGTTCTATCATACTTCTTTTTATTTTATTTTATTTTATTTTTCTTTAGTGATTTTAGAGAGGGAGAGAGAGAAACATCGATGAGAGAGAACATCGATTGGCCACCTTCTGCATGCCCCCCACTGGGGATCAGGCCCACAACCTGGGCATGTGCCCTGCCCGGGAATCGAACCAGCGACCTCTTGGTGCATGGGTCGACGCTCAACCACTGAGCCACATTGGCCGGGCATATCATATTTCTTTTTCTTTTAATCCTCACCAGAGGATATTTTTCTGATTATCTTTAGATAGAGTGGGAGGGAGGGAGAGAGAGAGAAACATCGACGTGAGAGGGACACATCTATAGGTTGCCTCCTGCACGACCCCGATCAGGGCCGGGGACAAACTGCAACCGAGGCACATGCCCTTGGCTGGAATCGAACCTGTGACTCATTGGTCCACAGGCTGACCCTCTAACCGCTGAGCCAAACTGGCCAGGGCTCATACTTCTTTTTAAATTATAAATGTACTTCTGGGGATCAGCCCATGGTACCCTTGTAAAGAAACCACTAACATCCACTTTTTGTCTTTTTATGTTCTGTTTCAATGTCTGCTTACATTTTATTGCACCAGCTCTCTCAGAATCTTTAGTCGTGGCAGACCAAGCCCATGGATGGGGCTGCTTGGCAGACAATGAATTACCCATTGGTGGACAAAGGGCCAAAACCAGAGGAAAGAATGGATGCTTGGAGGAGGGCTTTCTGAGGGGGGAAGACTGTCGTGGACAGTGAGGCAGGAAAGAAGGGAAGTTCAGAGCTGGGCTTGGAAGTCAGCCATGTTCCAGTTCAGTCCCAGGAACCGAACTGTGAAAAGTGGGAAGTCGCTTAACCTCCCAAGCCTCAGCTTTCTTATCTGTGAAATGGCAAAAACTAGCTGGATATTCCCCAAAGTCATCTCCTCTAGCACACAGCAAGCTTATATTTCCTAGATTTCTTTGCAGATAAATATGGCCAGAGCCGACCCCTAAAAAAACTGTCGCGTACTGACCCTCTCGTTCCTCGATTTCTAGCCAGATGTGGAAAATCCGAAGAACTCAGAGCCTAGAGAACGGAGGGGCCCCCAGATGGCAGAAGCCCAGGTCACTGAATGACTGACTTCCTGTCTCCTAATAAAACCACACTGGACAAAAACCACAAAAGAGCAAGAGGTAAACCTTTCTATTATATTTAAGCCACTGTAATGTTGGGATTGTTTACTGTAGCAGTGAGCCCATCTTATTATTCGTTTCTTTGACGCTGATGTAGGCGGGCCGGGCATTGGAGTATGCTGGCTTCTGGAGCAGAGCCCACGTTCCCGAGGCTCTGGCCCCGCACCGAGGGCTGCAGGTCGGGGATGGGCCAGCGGGGCCCCGTCCAGGGCTCCGAACGGGAGGCGTCCACAGAACGTGGCTCGGGACTACCGTGCACCCCGATTTTTTCACTTTTTACTTCCGGCACACGGAAGGACTGCATTTCCTGGTCTCCTGGAAGCGCCGTGTTCAGTGACTTGCTTTAACCAAGGAAAGGTTTCCCGAGGCATTTCCAGGTGAAAGCACATGGGGCGCATGCTCGCTCCGTGTGTTCCCGCCCCGCATCGTGATTGGTGGGATCGGAGGACCGCGTCCTGACCGCTCCCGCCCCGCATCGTGATTGGTGGGATCGGAGGACCGCGTCCTGACCGCTCCCGCCCCGCATCGTGATTGGTGGGATCAGAGGACCGCCTGACGGCTCCCGCCCCGCATCGTGATTGGTGGGATCGGAGGACCGCGTCCTGACCGCTCCCGCCCCGCATCGTGATTGGTGGGATCAGAGGATCGTGTCCTGACCGCTCCTGCCCTGCATCGTGATTGGTGGGATCGGAGGACCGCGTCCTGACCGCTCCCGACCTGCATCGTGATTGGTGGGATCAGAGGATCGTGTCCTGACCGCTCCTGCCCTGCATCGTGATTGGTGGGATCGGAGGACCGCGTCCTGACCGCTCCCGCCCCGCATCGTGATTGGTGGGATCGGAGGACCGCGTCCTGACCGCTCCCGCCCCGCATCATGATTGGTGGGATCAGAAGACCACATCCTGACCACTCCCGACCTGCATCGTGATTGGTGGGATCAGAGGATCGTGTCCTAACCGCTCCTGCCCTGCATCGTGATTGGTGGGATCAGAGGACCGCGTCCTGACCGCTCTGCTGGGAGCCAGGCCGGTTCCCTGGGCGCCTTCTGAATGCAGCTCACAGAGCGGGCAAGAAATCAGCCTCGAGAACGTGATTTCTGTTCAGCACTTATGAGGACCAGGCACTGTGCTAAGTGAGCACCCCGTTGTGAACCACACGGCGCAGTGCCCGGCCCTCACAGGCCCTTTTCAGTGTTCATTGTCATTGTTCCCCTTTTGCCTTAGAAGTGTATGTATTTGCTCAGATAGGTCCTGTGCTCTAGACGACGATTCCCCAATGGATGTCACCAGACTGGTGAGCATCTTGTTTACTTTTTTCTCGAAAACACCTGGAAGTTTTCATAGTCTGTGGGCAGCTGAACTGGAAATGGAATTCCAGGACCAAAGGCAGCATGGTGTGGAGGAGAGAGCACTTGAACTAGGAGTCGAGATCACTTTAGTTCAGCACACATTTATTGAGCACCTTCTGCATGTACCAGGCGCTAGAGAAACCAGTGTGTGCGGGGATCCCGGCCCTCTAGGAGCTTACATTTCCACAGGGCTGGCGCACAAGTAAACAAAGCATGATCCGTGCAGTAATAAGAGAATAAACAGGAGAGCCAGAGCTCTGTGACCACTAGCTGTGTGACCTTGGACATGTTACTTAACCTCTCTGGGCCTCATGGGGAGTGAAAATGGGGTCACTCATTTCTAACCCCTGAAATGCTAACATCTACAATTCTCAAAACCCTGTTAGGTTCTACGTTACAGAGGTGAAGCCTGGGGTGAGAGAGGTTCAGCACAGCAGGCTGAGCTACACAACTGCTTGTTGGGAAGAGCTAGCCCCCAACTAGCCCAGGGCAGGTCTTTGGAGTCAGGCTGCCTTAGCAGAGAGATGGGATCTCGGATGGGGTGGCAGGAGGCTTCCTGGATGCCCCTGTTTCAGTCTCATACTCACTCCCAGCTTGGGGCTGGCTACAGACCAGGAAGAGGAAAGAGGCAGCTACCTCCTCCACCTCCACCCCTCCTGCTGTAAGCACTCAGCAGACGGTGGGCATTTCTGGAAACCAGGCCTCGGCTGTCACGAAACAACACAGTGATGTTAGCATAACCCTGGGATCCCAGGACCCTTCAGCAGCCAGCCCCATTCACTGGTGGAAACCCTCCCTGAGCCTGGTTCCCACTCACAGCCGTCTCCTCATCAGCTGGGCTGCGTGGATGATGCAGAGGATGTTTTGGAGATGGAGGCAGCTCGCCCTTATCACCTTTGTTCTTCCAGGCCATCCCCACCCAGCCGCCCAGTATGTGCATGAGCTCATTTAATTGAAGCAGAACAAATTCAAGAGTTTATCTTTACTGTACCTCTAAAAATCAGGCCATGCCCACCAAGGCCAAAAAGAAAAGTCTTCTGACGATGGCGTCCACCACGCTCTCCCACTGTGACAAACGGTGACGTTCTGTGCAATCTCATTGTCACGTACAACGATCTTTGAGTGCGTGTTGTGTGCCCAAGAGGCCAACAACACACCATCCCTGCTCACCAGGGGTTTATAATCAGATGACAGGCGCGGTCAGGTGACATGAAGAAACCAGTCACAGGTGACAGACGGGCCATGTGAAAGGCTCAGTGTTAAGTGCCGGAGGTGCTGGGGAAAGAGTGGTCACTGAGGGCTGCTGCTGTCCCGAAGGCATTGCAGGGAGGCTCCAGCTGGGTCCTGAAGGGACAGAAAGACAGAAGTCACGACTAGCAATACCTGCTCTGCGGGTAATTCACGTGAAACCATAGGAAGAAGATAAGTGTCCAGAAAAAGAATCGCCTGTGGGCATGCAGAGGTCCTTCCCAGGGCGGCCCTTCTCCGTCACGGCACACATGGACACCCTCCCCTCCCTCTTCGGAGCTGGCCGGGGAGGGGGCTGGGTTCAAACTCTGACTCCACCACCTCCAAGCTGTGTGCTATGGAGTAAGTCCCTTAACCTCTCTGAGCCTGTCTCCTCATCTGTAAGAACAGCGGATGGCGCTGACTTTTCAGGGTTGTGGATCAACGAAGCAAACACTAATTAACTCACTAGCACAGCACCAACCACTACCGCCCCAATGTGCCCTCCTTACAAAGTCCTCCCTGTCACCCTCCATCTTCACAAAGGATGTCTGAGGATGGCCTGCTCCATCCTTCCCCAGGCACCCTGCCGGCTCCAAGGGTTACACCACCGCAGAACTGGACTTCAGGTTCAAACTGCACCCTGGGAGGACACGGCAGCCTGGGCTTCCAGCTAACCGTGCTCAGTGCTTCCCCCTGTGGCTGCGGAGAGCACAGCACCCGGCTCCGCAGCCCAGCAGCCCAGCGGACCCAGCCCACGTGAGAGAGGGGATGCTTGGCTGGTTTACAACCTTTGGCAGGATTTTCTACAGTTCTGAAGATTGACGTGCCAGTGTTTTGTTTCTGCCTTGTGTTTCCTCCCCCCTGTAGGAACCAGACAGGAAAACTTAAAACACTGGTGACCCCGAGTCAGGGTTCCTGTACTAAACTGATTAAACTCGTCCTGTGTTCCCAGACAGACCCGAGCCCACGTCACGGGTGTGCCTCGAAAGCTCCAGGCCTCGGAGAGTGAATAGAAATAAGATCTGAATGGGCTCACGGGTCTCTGTCACACTGCTTCCTTCCCAGCTCCCCTGTGGCTGCTTCTCTGAGTCGGAACCCTCAGGGCAGGACGAGAGCACCCCTCAACTCTTCCTCCTGGCCCTGGGACCCTGCCAAGGCACAGCTTGGTCCCCTGTGGAGCATCACCTGCCTCGGGCATTTCTGTGAGTTAAATGAAGAGCCACACCTAAGGCAAGACTGTGGCTTTTCAGCCTCACTGTCCCTGCAGGGAGGACATGTGAGAGCCCGCGGGCCTGAGATAACAGGTGTGAGTGAGGGCTCCGCCCACTCAGCCCCACCCCACCCCAGAGCAGCTGGCCCTTCCTCAGCCCCCAGCCTCTCCACACACTTCCCCGGGTGCTGGGAGGGTGCTGGGCTTCCTGCCACCCCCACAGGCCCAGCACCACCACACTGAATTCCCTGGCCCCCCTCTGGCGCCCCAGTAAAGACAAGGTTAAGAAACTACAACATACCCATATTTTACTAAAAGTCTAGAAAGCATGCAAAAAGGGCACCAAAACCAAGTTGACAGTTTTGTCTGAAACCCAAGCGAGCAGAGCAGAGCAGAGCTGGACCTGGTTTCCCTCTGACCTATTTTCTGAAAATGGGCCAGGACCCAAATTCACACAGGGAGCTCCCAGGCAGGCTGCCCACAGGACACCCAGCCGGCCCGAGGGGAGGCTGGGCGGGCCTGGGCTGTGTGCTGATGGGGTGGGGCACCTGCTCAGGCCCAGGGGTACTGCCACACCCCTCTCCCCCCTCGGGCAGACCAAGGGCCCTGGGAAGAGGCCCTAGGACCAGCACAAACATGGTCTCTTCCCCATGGCTAACCTCCCCTGAGGCAGAATAAACCACCCTCGGCTATGTTCCAGAACATTCTCTGCTTTCCAAGCTGTTTCCTCTGCTCCCTGTGTGCTCCTTGGGGGATAAAGCTGTTGATCCCGTGCCTGGCATGGTGTCTGGCGCATGGCGGGTGTGAATAAACGTTTGAATAAACATTTGAGTTGAATGGTAATGAAGGAGCCAGATGGAACACACCCCCTAGACATCTAAGAATAACTCGGGGCCTAGCAAAGTTCAGTGGTGCCCTGAGGCCACAGAATGTGTTTTTGTCCTGGGTTCCTGCATTCTGCCACCTGCCAAGCTAGATCAAGTAGGTCTTGGGGTGCCCCTCACAGACTGGCACCCAGAGTTATGCCCCTGGAACAGATGGCAGCCAGCTTCTCTGGATGCCTCCTCTCTCTTCCATCAGTAACCAACCCAACAGCACGGGCCCCGAAAGCCCCCGCCCAGGAGGGCAGATGTGGGGGTCCAGGTAAGGGGAAGCCTTGCTCCCTGCCTCCCAGCAACCGGGAGAGAAGGGACGGGGGTGGGCTGTGTGCCACCAGTAATGCCATGTCTGTCAGTACCAGGGCCGCATGAGGAAGGGATGCTCCAGCACGGGACTTCAGGTGGCTAACCGTGGGCTGTGTGTGCATGTGCATGTGCATGTGTTGGGGGCCAGGCGCCTACCCTGCTGAGCCGCAGGACCTGCTGGGCCGAGGAGACCAGGACCCGGGGCTGATGGGCCTGCGGGAAGCCTGGGGCAGGCAGGTCTGGCCAGCGGCCGCGCCTGGCCGACTCACCTCACGTGTAGGCCATCTTGCTGCACACCCACGGCCGGGTCATCAGACACTCCGTGGACACCAGCCTGGTGGGCTCCACGAACACGCACTCGCCCAGGCCCGCGACGGAGAATCTGTGGCCGCGAGAGGAGAGATCAGGCCCTCAGGCCCTGTGGTGACTGCCCCTCCCTCAGGGTCACCTTCCAGGACATTCGGCCCCAAGACCTTTGTGACAGGACTTCCCACTGCCTCCCTTCTGCACCGCGGCCCCAGCCACCCCGCAGGTGCCTGTGTCTGTCTGTCCCCAGCCCCCGGCAGCCAGCGCCTGGACACCGGGCTCCCCCATGGCACGGTGACTGGCACGGGAGGGGCTGCATTAAATGGCCTCACAGATGAGGTGTGGGCCTGAACGACCCAATGCTTCGCACTGGGACTGTGTGGCCCAGGACACCACTGACGTCATTCACGGACCTGCGGGGGAAGGGTTCTCCGTGCCTAAAATCCGGCCTTTGGAGTCTCACGGTTTCTTCTGTTCACCTTGATCTGAGGCCCCTGCCAAGGCCAGAGCTGGGGTCTCATAAGAGTCAGCATCAGAATGACCCCGAGAGGGAGTGTGGGGACAGGACCACCTCAGTGTCAGGAAAACACCTGGTTGCCAGGTGGTCAGCACAATGGGGACCCCAGTCTCCAGGGCCCTCCCGGGCTCTGGGAGCAGGAAGCTTCCAGAAGGGGGGAAAAGGGGAGAGAAAGTGCAAGACTTCCTCAGCCACGCTAAGAACTGATCTGAGATGGGAGCAGGAAGGGGGAAGAGGCAGTGGGGAGGGGGAGAGAAGTGTAAAAACGGGAAGGAGAGGGGAGGGACTGTCCGCTGGGCTGCTTGCCCCCTGGAGGCTGCTGGGGACACAGGGGACCTAACTGAGCCTGGGTGGGAAGGAGGGCTGGTGGCCCTAGGGACAGGCATGGTCCCCATCAGGTCAGCAGCGGTGCCCTGCCCACCTCCTGGCCGGTTCTTCCAGCCACAGCGCCTGGACTGAAAGCCCAGGTTCATTCCCTGCATTCCTCTAACCTAGACCGCCCCCGACACCTATCACCACCCCCACTGCCACCATCGCCTCCCACAAACCAGTCCCTGGCACCGCACAGCCGCCACTCCCTTGGCACGCTCACTTCCACAACGTGGGTCTCACAAATAATACCCCCAGCAGAGGTTCTCTGACGCTCATGGTGCCAGGGCTCAGATCCCATGTCCTCACAGTACCAGTGTTTAGGGGGCACGTGTCTGCCTGGCATAGAGGCCCCATCTCCTCCCTCCCTTGTGGCCAGGTGTCCCGTGGCTGTGCTCTGGCCAACGCACAGGGGCGGCACAGACCTTTCCCTCTTGCCCCGTGACTGAGCCACACTGAGCCACGCAGACAGGCCACTGTGCAGACAGAGGAGTCACAGGATGGAAAGAGCCTGGGCCCTGGCAGCAGGAAGCTCTGATGACATGGGGCGGAGCCACCAAACCAGGGAGACCAAAGTAACACCACTGTCATGGATGGGTCCGCTGAGCCTAGGGGCTGAAGCTCTCGCTAGCACAGAGCCAGGCGGCTCCCGGGAGGTGTCGGGCGGCTAGGCCTTGCCCTGTCTAAGCTGGTGGCCAGAAGAGGAAGCCTCAGCTCACGTGTCCGGGTCAAACGGTTCCCCGTTGACCCAGTGGAATTCGTCTCCCACTCTGCGCAGGCCAATCCAGGGCTCCCTCCGCGTGAACTTGAACAAAAATTCCTGCGCCAAGAAAGAGGGAAGGCTGATCAGACGTGGTCCCCTGACCACTGGCACTTCCCAGACCCTCAGCTTGGAGGATCAGCTCCCAAACTACACCCCATAAGTGAGGCGCGGGGTCCCAGAGTGCCCTGCACTCACACTGACCGCCCAGCAGTCGCCTGCAATGGCCCCGAAGGGACCCGGCTCTGGGTTTGTGCCCCTGGCCCAGCAGCCCTGATTCACAGGAAGCCTGGGTTCGCCTGCTTGGTAGACGACCTGGGACAACTCTCAACGTGGAGGTTGACAGTCCCTCCGCCTACATACTTCTGGGCCTTTCTCTGAAGAAGGGGCGATGACACTGTGTATCAGAGACAGAAGTGACTGCTACATTGTCTGCCGGTTCCATTGCCACTCTGTAAGCAGCAGCAGCAGACTCTGCTTCCGTCCCATTTCTGTGGATGTTACACGCGCGCTCGCGTCCTGGCTGGGAGAGGGCGCCAGTGTGTTTTCACATCTCCCGAGGGCACCGGTCATTTGTGATTCTTACACGGGGCAAAACCGAGCTGAGCTCAGCTGACCAGCCTGGAACGACAGCCGTGGAAACGGCCACGGGTGGGCCCGCTCGGACCCCGAGGGACCCACCTGCACACGTGGCTGTGCGTGTGCAGTGGCTGCCCCGGAAACACGAGGCGGGGGCACGGGCCCCGGGGTGGGCTCCCTGGAGAGGCCCGCGGGCACTCACCAGCTCCTTGGGGCTCTGAATCACGGCCAGGGCGGCCTCGTGGCTGTAGCAGTACTGCCGGCCCGTGTTCCAGTCCCTCGGCTCCTCGGAGAAGTAGTAGCACGTCCTCCCGTAGAGCAGCCAGTCCTCGGGGCAGGGCGCTTCGCACTTGATGCAGCCCTTGGAGGCTGCAGGGAGGGGGCCCAGCATCACGGGGCGCCCGGCCCCACCACCCCGCGCTGCCCTCGGCCGCTCTGCCCTGCCCTTCCCTTCATGCGCCGCCTTGTCAGGTGAGCCCTTCTCAAGGGCTGGGCAGGTAGAGGGTGGGGACTGGACGCACCCGCAGGAGGAATGCGGGGGGCTCGCAGAGGCACCAGGGCACGGGGCAGGTTAGCCGCTGGGTTAAGATCTCTCCCTCCGAACTCTTCAAGGCATGGAACCCCAGAAACTCGGATCTGGAAGGGACTCTCCAGCCAGGGTGGGACCCTTCTGCAGGCTCAATGGGCCCACTCTCGCTGGCCACGCCCCACTGGCTGATAAGGCAGCCACCCCACCACTGAACCGCTGGAAGATCCTTTTCAGTTCCGAGTTCCAGTGTGCCCTCCTGGCCTGGACCTGCTGCCCCGGGACAGCCACTAGAGTGACCCAGAGCAAATCCAGTCTGCCCTCTAGCGCCTGCTTGAGGAAGGACAACAGCCCACCCCCTACCCCCACCTTATCCAGGCTTAAACAGTCTCTTTCATGATTCCTAAGGGGTTGCTCTCCAGACCCTTCTCCAGCCTGCGTGGCTCACTGCAGGGTGCCCTCATCACCACGACAACCCTGCCACCAATCAGCCACCGGCAGATGGGGCCCAGCAGCAGCAGCAGGGGTCACACACCACCTTCCAGCGACTATGGGCTTCCCAGCCTGCAGGCATCAGAGTCTCAGAGGGCCTCCTTCTGAAAGGAATTCAGCCACACTCTTCCACATGACCTCTCTCCACGCCAGGTCTCCCCCGCGGCCAAAGCATGTATACATCAATTTCAAATCCAAATGAAGGATCTTATATTTATTTCTTCCACATTTATCTCCATCATGTTGGCTCATCTGAGTTGTTAAAGATACATTTTCATCTTGATTTTATTTTCATCAGTCACATTAAACATCCCTCTTTGGGGGATACTTCTTGTCTGTTTCTATACATGTGATTGATTAAATGGAGACCAGGACAGAGCCAAGAACAGGCCCCGTAAGGACCCCCAGCCATACTGACACCAATGAATAGGTAGACACTGTGCGTATCTGTTCAACAAGCTATAGATCCACTTGGCAGTCTCGATGTGGTGTGGCTACATTTCAACTGCTTTTCCATAAGGATCTCCGAGGACACTGCTGTCCTTGACTGAAGTCACAATACGCTACCTTTACACACATTGTCCTGACCTCCCAGCCTAGCAACAGACAAAGGAAACCGATCTCATTCGTGGTAATTATTCTCGGTGAACCCAAGCTGGCGCCATTGGTCACTAGGTTTTTCTCTAAACACTCAAACTCCCTGTAGGTGAGGCCTTGGCAGGGACTGATATTATCAGTGGACTTTTTGCCCATTTGGAGGTGCCCAGCTCTGGTCTTAAGGCGCTTCTCAAAGATTAAAGACAGAGGCTCTGAAATCACTTTGCAGACCCTTCGGATCCCACGACATACTCTGCCTTCAATCCATCCAAAGCAGCCAAACTCCCCAGTGACTGCCCTTAGTGATGATGTCCTCCAATGTCATTCCTCCCCTCTTCCAGGCCCTCCTCGCTCTCCCTGTCACTCAGACCCCGCCCTTTGGACTGTTCCACTCCCTCTGCTTCCTGGTCTCCAGGAAGCTCCTATTCATTCTTCAGAGCCTGGCACCTGTGTCTCCCTCGGGAGCCCAGCGGGGCAGCACACCTCCCTATGTCACACCTGTCTTCTCTCTCTTTTTTTTTTTCTTTACTGATTTTAGAGAGAGAGGAAGGGAGAGGGAAAGAGAGATAGAAACATCTATGAGAGAGAACATCGATTGGCCGCCTCCTGCATGCCCCCCACTGGGGATCGGGCCCACAACCTGGGCATGTTCCCTGACCAGGAATCGAACCGGCGACCTCTTGATGCATGGGTTGATGCTCAACCACTGAGCCACACCAGCCGGACCCACCTGTCTTTTTTTACTTTTTAAATCCTTAGCCCAGGGCCTAACACACAGCAGGCCTCAGTAACTACTTGTTGAATGGATGGATGTGATCCTAAATGCCCACATCCCAGACTCATCTCCTCTGGGAAGCGGTGTCTGCCTGACCTGCCTGGAGTCCGTTCTGAGCTCTCATGGCCTCTCTGTAGGAGGACCAAAGCCCCATTTCCAGTCTCCCTGCACAGCTCAGTAAAGGGGACTTGGAGAGTTGATGTGTGGAAAGATTATTTTAAGCTAAAACCTCCTCTGGAACTAATACAGAATCCGTGGCGCGTCTGGAACTCTTCTTGACCTAATTCGACAAGGTGGTACACGCTGAACTACGTAAACAGTCTGACATCCATGCTCACCCAAGATGCTCATCACCACCAGGATGGCGAACAGAAGGACGGCAATGGCCCCGAGCAGGAGACGGGTGGTGGTGTCTGAGGAGAAGAGAAACGGTTCAATTCCTGGCCACCCACCCACCACCAATACCCACAGCCAGCCCCACATCCCAGTCAGGAAAGACTCTGGGGTGGGGCCGGCCGTCTGCGTTGTAACAAGAGCTGGGAGTCGCTGTACCAGAGCACACACCTGATTCTGAGGTCCCTGCTCCATCACCTCCCCTCCAGGGCTACACACGTGTCCTCCTGTGGCCCAGAACCCCCTCTTTAACCTCCTGCGGCTTCTCTGCCTGTGTGGTTCAGCCACACAGACTCTTGAAACAGCCCAGCCCACCCCCAGCCCTGCGGCTGGATCTCTGCTCCCAAAGCTCTGCTCCCCGACGCTGCCTCTGGAAATCCGCCGCGTCTGTACCCGCCACCCTTTCATGAGACCTTCCCTGATCCTCTGGCTTCTCTCTTCTTTATAATTTTTTTTTTTGTTACCAGTTAAATTTTTGTTTTATATTTAATAAAAGAACCATTTTAGACTTTAGACATTGGGTCATTTGAAGTTTTTTTTATTGTGATAAGAAATATAAAAATTGCCATTTTAACCATTTTTAAGTGTGCAATTAGTGGCATTAATTACATACCCAATATTGTGCAACCATCCCCACTGTCAGTTTGTAAAACTTCATCACCCCAAACAGAAACTCTGCTCCAATAAGTATTTGCTCCCCTTTCCCACCTCCCCCCAGCGCCTGGTAACCCCTAACTTTCCATCTCTATGAATTTGCCTCCTCTAGATATTTCATACAAAGGGAAACACGCAATCCTAGTCTTTTTGTGTCCGATTTATTTCACGCAATATAATGTTTTCAAGATTCATCCGTGTGTAGAATGTATCAGAATTCCATTCCTTTCATGGCTGAATACTTTTCTATTGTATGAATATATACACTTTGTTTATCCATTCCTGCTGATGGACGGTTGGGTGGTGTCCCCTTTGTGGCTATGATGAATAATGCTGCAGGTTGGCATACAGGTGTCTGTCTGAGTCCCTGTTTTCAGTTCTTTGGGGTAAATACCTAGGAGCGGAATTGCCAGCTATCACGGTGAATTTATGATTCACTTTTTGAGGACCCGCCACACTGTTTTCCACAGCGGCTGCACCCTCCGACATCCCCTCCAGCAGCCACAAGTGTTCTCGTTTCTCCGCCACCTTGCCGATACTTTTTAGTGTCCACCATTTATCACAGCCATCTCGTAGTGGACATTCCCTTCTCTAAGTCCCTTTTTGAAAACGAAGTTATGCATGAACATAGATGGAAGCAGCCCCTCCACAGGCCGGGGCTGGGCTGTGCATGAGCCCCAACACTGAGGAGGGATCCACAAGTGCACCGCAGTTCATCATGCGTGACATCCAAGTGCACGGTGGTGCTTCTAGCAATTCGCTTGTATTGTCCTTTACAAAGGATTGGGAAGTGCTGGCCCTCTTAGATTGGTCCTCCGATTGGTTCTCTATCCCTTACCCAATATCTCTTTGCCTTCTTGCCTTATTTCCTGGAAGATTTTTTCAACTTTACCTTCTTACCCTTCTGTTGAATTTTTCATTTCTATGATTATTTTCTATCTCCAAGGTTTTTTTGTTTGTTTTGTTTTGTTTTGTTTTAGCTCAGTGGCTGCTATTCTCTGAATAGTCCCCCTTATTTTAATAATGTAATCCTTCTTCTCATCTGTCTGAGGGTATTACTGATAGTTTTGGGGGGAGGGGGACAGAAAGTTTATTCCTCCCTGTACAGTCTCTGTATCCTCCAACTTGTTTTTTTTCTGTTCCTTTGTTTGGGTCTCTAACTTCCAATAGTAGAGACTTTCCTTGGATTCTGGAGAGCCTTGGTCACTCGGTCCTGATTAAGCCAGGACCACAGAGTTCACCGGGGTCTCTGAGACCCTGGGAGGGGCTGGTTAACGCTGGGGGCAGGGGTCACAGCAGACTGACCCAGCTGGGCTGACCCTCCGGATCTCTGCGTGTTGACCTCCTTGGGCTTTTTCTCTCTTGGGTGCGTCAGTCCCTGGAGAAGGCTCTTCCGTTCCCTCTCCTGGAGAGGCTTGGCCAGGAGGCGAGGGGAGGCCACCTTCAGCAGCTGATATGTAAATGTCACCATAACTGCTTATTCTCTAACACATTGGTGTCAAGAGGCCCTCTTCCCCAGATTCCCCCTCGGGCTCCTGCAGGCCTGGGAAGAAGCTGTACAGAAGGGGCCAGGATCTGGGGTCTGAATCTTCTTAAGAAATGTCCGACCAGTCCTCTTGTTTCAACTGTCACGATGACCCGTGCCCCCGCCCTGTGCCGCCAGGGGAGGTCCTCTGTTGGTGGAGTCAGTTACCTCCCACTGCTCCCTAGTTCCCAACTGAGTGCTGCTGTTGCCTCTCCTGTTCTTGGGGTCCATGTGGCCCTTTAAATGCCCCCTTCCTGCTGTATTAGTGGGCTTCGGAAGGGAAAGAGAATAATTGCAAGCGTTCAGTCTGCCACCTTTCCTGAAAGTCCGACCCACAAACATTTTGGAGTCCATCCTGGGAGCAAGTTTGATGCCAGCAGGTGACCAGGAGCCCAGAGGCGGGCGGCTCCAGACTGAGTAGGAGCAGAGGCTCACACCTGCCCTCCGAGGCTGGGCTCTCTGTCTGCTGTCCCCGCTGGCCAGCTGTCGTGGGCGCATCCCCTGAGAGGCCAACTGCCGGCTGCAGCCAGGCTGCTGGATGTCTCCCGCTGCCTTCCTCCCTCGCCTCGCCATCCTCGTCTGCCGCACGCTCTGCAGCCCTTGCGTGTGGAGGACAAGAGCGTAGTGTCTTAACCCGCCTCGCCCGGGTTCGAATTCCAGCTCTGCCACTTTCCAGACGACTTGGTTGGCAAAGTCACTTAGCTTCTATTTTATTTCATTTTCCTCTTCTTTAAAATGAAGTAATAGTAGTATCTGCCTCTTAAAATTTAATGAAAATTCAATGTATGGTACTTAGACCAGTGTCTGGTATGGACATTTTACTTCGGTGTTAAGAGATATAATGATGATGATGATCATGATCATAATCATGACGATAATGATGGCGATGATGGTGATGGTTGTGGTGGTGATGGTGATTGATGGTGGTTGATGGTGGTGATGATGATAGTAGTGATGGTGATGATGGTGATGGTGATGATGGGGATGACAGTGATAATGATGATGGTAATGATGGTGATGGTGATGGTGATGGTGATGATGATGGTGATAATGATGGTGATGGTGTTGATGGTGGTGATGGTGATGACAATGGTGATGGTGATGGTGGTGATGATGATGGTGATGATGGTGGTGATGATGGTGATGGTGATGATGACAATGGCAATGATGATGATGATGGTGATGATGGTGGTGATGATGGTGATGGTGATGATGACAATGACAGTGATGATGATGATGGTGGTGGTGATGGTAATGACAGTGATGATGATGGTGATAATGATGGTGATGGTGACGATGATGGTGATGGTGGTGGTGGTGACGATGATAGTGACAGTGGTGGTGGTGATGATGATGGTGATGATGGTGGTGACGATGATGGTGACAATGACAGTGATGATGATGGTGGTGATGGTGGTGGTACTAAGCCCACAGGTGCCTTTATGGTAAGAGCCATGCTCTACTCACCTATGGAGCCCCTGTGACAGGGCTAAGCCACTGCCTTGCCTGCCACAGAGCACCCACTGGCACTAAAAACACAGGGGACTTAGCTACACTGAATGACAATGTCCTTGGTCAGCCTTAAACTGAACTGAGCTTGTAGGAAAGGGCACTTGGGTACATCTGCTCTCCGGGTAAAGAGGCATTGGTGTGTGTCTCCAACATCACCAGAACCGAGAGGCCCCTTCATTCTCTCACGGGGATAACCGCTCTGACGCTGCACTGGGAAGACAGAGGACAAGCGAGGGAACCCAGTCATTGTTCACCGCCTGCCCTCACACAGGACGGCTGTGGGCTGGACAATCCAAAACAATGCTGTGTTCATTTCCTACGGCTGGTGTCACAAAGTACCAAACACTAGGTGGCTTAAAACACCAGAAAGGTATTGTGGCACAGTCCTAGAGGCAGAAGCCCACAGTCAAGGTGTCTTCAGGGCCACGCTCCCTCTGAAACCCACAGGAAACCCTTCTTTGCTTCGCCTTGTTTTGGGGGCTCGCTGGTGGCCTGGTGTTCCCTGGCTTGTAGATGGGTGTCTCCCATCTCTGCCTTCACTGTCACATGGCCTTCTCCAGTTGTGTCTTTGTCTTCATGTGACTGTCTTCTTAGAAATACACCTGTCATATTAGATTAGGAGACTACCCTGGCCCAGTATGTGCCATGTTTTTTGTTTGTTTGTTTGTTAATCCTCACCTGAGGGCTTTGGCTGGTTTGGCTCAGCGGTTAGAGCCTCGGCCTGTGGACCAAAGAGTCACGGGTTCGATTCTGGTCAAGGGCACATTCCTTGGTTGCAGTTCAGCCCCTAGCCCTGGGCGGGGTCGTGTGGGAGGCAACCAGTCGATGTGACTCTCTCATGTAGATGTTTCTCTATATATCTATCTTTCCCTCCCACGTTATCTGAAAATAAATGGAGAAAAAATATCCTTGAGTGAGGGTTTAAAAAAAAAAATCCTCACCTGGGGGGGGTATTTTATCCATTGATTTTTTTGGAGAGTGTGGAAGAGAGGGAGAGGAGAGAGGAAAAGAGAGAGAGAGAGAAACATCCATGTGAGAGAGACACATCGATTGACTGCCTCTTGCACGTGCCCCAACCAGGGCAAGGGATCGAACCTGCAACCCAGGTACCTTCAGCAGGAATCAAAACCACAACCCTTTAGCTTATGGACTGATGCTCTAACCACTGAGAAACACTGGCCAGGGCTTTTATGCCCTCTTCTTATCTAATTACATCTGCAATGCCCATATTTCCAAATAAAGTCATATTCTGAGGTTCTGGGGGATTAGATGGTAATATATCTCTTTTTTTTTTTAATCCTCACCTGAGGATATTTTTCCATTTATCTTTAGAGAGAGCAGGAGGGAGAGAGGAACAAAGAGAGAGAGAGAGAGAAACATTGATGTGAGAGAGACACATCAACTGGTTGCCACCCACAGGACTCCAACCAGGGCCAGGGACGAAACGCAACCAAGGTCCATGCCCTTGGCCGGAATCAAACTGGGACTCCTTGGTCCGCAGGCTGACACTCTAACCGCTGAGCCAAACCAGCCAGGGCAGTAACATCTCTCTTTAGGGGGACACAATTCAAGTCATAAACAAATGTCTAAGTCGGCAATCCTTCCTTTTATGCAGTGGTCTTAATTAGGGTGCAGTTTATCTACATTTATGAATGTCTATGACTTAGCCTAATGTTAAAGGAACAGCTGATAAAGCTGGCCCCCAAGCCCAGACAATCTCCCGTCCCCCTCATACCCACAGCCCCAAAGAGACTCACAGCGACATCTCGAGTGGCCAGGCCACAGCCTGGAGCGCATCATCTGCCCTGTGCAAAACTATCCACCGCAGAGTCTGGTCATTTTTTAAGTTTTTAAGAGGCTTTGCTAAATGCATGTGTGGTTTTGATCAGGAAGTTGTGGGTTTATGCCTCATCAAGGAACTTTCAACATTAAAAATTCAGAATCGGTGAGGACTGAAAAATCTATAGCCTGAGATACGCAGAATCACGCTGCCCCTCTCCCATGCTCTCAGGTTCCTTTCCCCACTGCCCCCCAAAGCCAGAAACATCCCATCTCAAATCACCTCGTCCTTCCAGAACCCGGCAGGCGTTCTGGGTCACCTCCAGCCTCCCCCCGAGGCCGGTGTGGAAGGACAAGTTAACGTCCACGGGGAGACAAGACGATCTAGAAGTTCTGACTGGCTTTCTATTTATAAAGCTAATCGTTGGTCTAAGGAAAGTCTTAAAGACCTGGGCTCTATTCCCGGCTGGGTGATTTAAGCAGCTCTCCGTGTCACTTAACCCGTCTGTGCTGGGGGTGGCAGGGTTGTCTGAGGAGCATGAGGAGGACAGTGACCTGCACCCAAAGCACAGCTCAGCCTGTCCGTTCGCCTCACCAAGCCCGAGATCCCCCGTCCACGCGGGACAGTAAGAGCTTTCACTGGGTCAAAGGGCCCTGCAGCAACCCCAACAGGTGTGTCCTTGGGCAGGACACTCAGCCTCTCCGAGTCTCAGTCTCCTCCTCTATAAACGACACAACACTCACCGACCCCTGCGAGGGCAGATGTGAGGACTGAGCGAGGCAGCTGCTGGGCGAGCCCCCGGCACGGGTCCAGCACACAGCAGGTGCGTGTGATCGATGTTTAGCTCGTGGTGACAGAGGAGCACAGGCCCCCTGAGTGTTCAGCTTGGTCAAGTCAAAGTCTCCTGTTTCTCTCCAGACGTGCTTGGCTACGGAGAGGATGCAAACCCCTTGGCCCCCCGCAGGGGCAGCCCGTCATCCACCATGGTGTCCTCAGTGTCCATGGCGGGCCCATCACAGGGACTCCAGTTGGCAGTGAGGAGTGGACTCAAGGTAGGCAGACCGGCAGTCAAAGGATTTCACCTGAGCTCCCCCGTCAGGAGGAGGCCACGCTTAGGGAGCAGGGGAGGAGTCACCCACACAGCCCCACCCCAGCATCTGTCGGTGTGCTGAGGCAGAAACTCATCTAGCGTGGCAGATGAGGAAACGGGGGCTCACACGAGTTCAAAAACCCGGTAACTTAGGGCTGGGTTTACCCAGCTCCAGACTCATCGGGCTGCCTCAGCCCCGTCCTGTGACTGTTCAAGGGCAGGGGTGTTCCCAGTGCCCAGGGCTGTGTCTGGACAAGGCGGCACCCCCTCAATGCAAGGAGAGGAAGAGGGCATGGATGTGGGAGAGCAGCCCAAAGGCTGGCCCTGGGCCCGCTCAGCAACACCCTGGAGAGCACCCATCCTGACCCGCCAGCTCCCCTCTTCTGACAGAAGATGGGTGCCCAGGGGACACCCAGGGGACACTCAGGGGACTGGCAGAGGGGCGGCCTCTCACAGGGACTCAGACAGCAGACCCTAAGACACCTGTGGGGAAAGCCCATAGGCCCCAGACGCTGAGCTCCCAAGGACCACAGGCCCCGAGGCTGGGACTGAGGCCAGGTGAACCCGCAGAGCCACAGGGAGCAGGAGACAGAGAGGCCAGGCAGGGACCCGGACACGGAGACAGGCTGGGCCAGACGTAAGGCACTAAGCAGAGTGGTCTCTCCAGGGGCTGGAAGACCCAGTGTCCCAAGGGAGACCCGGGCCATCTCCTGCCTCACTCAGGGTGGCTGGCCCAGCCATGCCTGGAGTAGGAAACAAGTAACCTGGACGCTCTGAAAGAGACCACACTACCCTAAACATCAGGGTTAGAGTCAGCTCCCTGCAGACCCTGCAGAAATCTTACAAAGGAATGAGTGAGTGAATGAAGAAATGCAGGGAAGAGGAGTAAACACCTTCAGGAAATAACGTGAGCAGGAGGGAAGCGGGCGGGGGGAGGGCAACGGGAAATCCCGCAATGCACCTGGAGAGTGTGGGAGAGTCGGGGGCTGGTCTGCCCTTTTCCACTCAACTCTTCTCATCCTGGGGCCCCTCAGCAGGCTCTCTGCCCAAGATCCAACATCTTTGCCTCCTTTGTCTTAAGTCACCACCCAGGCATCCGACCTCCCCTCGAGTCCACACAGGCCCCCTCAGGCAGCCCACACTCCTGGCCCACCAGCCTTCAGGCCAAATCCTGACATGCTGGTCCCCACCTCTCTCTCCTCCGCAAGGTTCCTGCCCTGCCAGGGCTGCTTCTATCCCTCGCTGACCACTGCCCCACCTTCCTCACTGACCTGCCTCGGTGTGACTCCTGCAAGCCCACCACTTTTCCGAGGACAAACCCACTGTCTCATTCTACGCTTCAGATCTCAGTGACTCCTTCAGACAAAGGCCAAACTCTTTGGCAAGGCCTGGGGGCCATCCGCCAGGGGCCCTCCAGACTCACCAATCCCCCCACCCCCCGATCCTTGTATCAAGTTCGGTTCTCCACAAGGGACAGGCTGGCTCTGGCCACTTAACCCCTAAACATCACTCCTTAAGCCTGGTGCATCCTTCCTCTCCTCTCCAAGTCTACGAAGAGGTCACCTATTCCAGGAAGTCCTCCTTTTCTGACACGCCCTCCCTAGGAGCTGGGTGATCCAGACTCTGGGCTTCCCTAGATTATGCTGCCCCGGTCCTTGGCCTTTGGACTGGGGGTGCCAGGACTATAGAGAAGCCTCCAGAGGACTGGCCCTCTGTGCTGCCAACTCCAGCATCTCTCACGCCACACGCCACCAGTGGCCAACACAAGTTTTCCAAAAGAACTCATGAACTTGACATCTGTTTTCCACTTTGCTTACTGCCCCCTTGGCCAGCCAGGGGTCGTCGCCTCTCCCCTAAGCGGCCCCATCCCCACCAGGTGCCCCCATCCCCTTCTCCTGCACACTGGTAACCTCGGTCTACAGCTTTCCGCACTTTGCCCAACGCATTTCTGCTGCCACAACGAGTCCCGCCAGCCCTCAGCACGCCCATCGGTGAGCATCAGACAGTAACTGTCCCCTCCGCTCCTGAGGAAACTGAGCTCAGGGTGTGGAACCTGCTCCCAAGGTCAGAGTGAATTAGCTGCAGAGGTAGGGCCAAGGCTGTAACTATACGTGGTCCCCAGTTACATCCTTCTGCCCCCAAAGGTGTCATCTAATTACCCTGAAATCAATCCTCCGGATTCCAGAGCCGCGCTCCCCGCCCTCCCCTCCGGGAGACGGGCCAAGGTGACTCTGACCCGCCTCCCGGTCCCGGGCCGGAGAACGGAGGGCCGCTCCAGCTTACCCTCCAAGGCCGCCTTCCAGCTGGTGCTGCCCTCGTAGCCGGAGCCCGACCGCCGCAGCAGCCCCTCGGGGCCGCGGGCCTCCGCCTCCGCGGGCGAGCGCGGCCTGGGCGCGGCGGGGGCGGCGGCGGGCGCGGGGCGGGCGGCGGGCGGCGGCGGCCGGACCCGCGCGGGGGGCTCTCGGGCCGGCTCCATGCCCGGCGCTCAGCCGCGCCCGCGCTCCTGCCGGATGCAGGGCCCGGCGCCACGCGCACTGGGCGCTCCGCGCGCCCGGCGCACCCCAGGCCGAGCTGGTGGGCGAGCCCCGCGGCTCACGCAGGCCCGGGCTGAGCCCGGCTCCCCGCGCCCGACCGCTGCGCCCGGTCGCCGCCGCCTCGCGCGCCACGCCTGCCCGGCCTCGCCGCAGCCCGGGGAGGAGCCGGGCGGGCGGGCGGGGCGGAGGAGGCGCCGGGGCGCGGTGACACGCACGGTGACACGCGGCGGGGGCCGGACGCTGCAGAGCGAGGAGCGCGGTCGGGGCCCAGGACACCTGGCTCCCGAGCCAGCCCCACCTCCCCGCCTCCGGTGCGGCTCCGTTCACAGGAAACCAAGTTTCCCCCGCGCTCCTGCGCCAGGGCAGAGCTCCGGGGCTGGGACTTGGCCCCCAGCGTGCAGGGCTCTGGGGGGACGCGTGGAGCACATTTTGGATTCAGTTAACACTGCACATCCGCCAAGCGCCGGGGACGTTGGTATATCAGCTGACACCAGCTGCAGCTGGGGTTGAGAGCTGGAATTAACGAGGTCAAGGGCAGTTCTGAAGGCGGCACCATCAACTGAGTGCTGGCCGGGGTCCGACTCCAGGCCGGGGCTCGGTCCGTGGCCCGCACCCGCCTGCACGCTTTCTTTCCCCAGCTGACCTGGTCACCCCAAGCTCCAGGTGTCCGGCCCTGAACTTCTCACCTGTTTCCAGTCTCACCTCTGGCTCCTCCGCCTCAGCTCCTCCTGCTCTGTCCCCCCACAGCCAATCGCCATCCACCCCTAAGAATTGTCCCTTTTAAAGTCTGGGTCTCTGCCCCACCGGTATGGCTCAGTGGTTGAGTGTCGACCTATGACCTATGGCCACCAGTTTGATTCCCAGTCAGGGCACACGCCTCAATAGGGGGCGTGCAGGAGGCAGCCAATGGCCAATGACCTCGATATTCTCTCTCCTTCTCCCTTCCTGTCTCTCTAAAAATCAATAAAAGTATATTTTTAAAAAATAAAAATAAGGTCTGGATCTGGGTCTGGCCTGTTTGTCTAAACAGTTAGTGCATTGGTGTGTGGACCCAAGGGCTGTGGGTTCGATTCCTGGGCTGCAGGTCCGATCCCCAGCCCAGCTGGGGTCATGCGGAAGGCCAGCCAATTGATGTATCTCTCTCACATCTCACATCTCTCTCTCTCTCTCTCTCTCTCTCTCTCTCTCTCTCTCTCTGTCTCCCCCTCTCTCCCCCCACCCTGCCTCCCTCCCTTCCACTCTAAAAAAATCAATGGAAAATGGAAAAATGTCCTCCCGTGAGGATGAACAACAAGCAAGTCTGGGTCTGCCCATTTCTCTCTGTTCCTATGGCCACTGACCAAGCACAGACCAGTTTCATCTCTCTTCTGATCACAGTGGCAGCCTCATGAGGTCCCAGCAACTCTTTTTCCATTAAATCCAGCCCCTCTGTCTCGCACCAGAGGCTTCTTCCTCAAGAGAAACCTCACCAGTGGCCCAGGGCTCCTGTGGGTTAAGTGCAGCGTTTTCACCAGCTCTTATTTCAGGCTTCATCCCCTCTACCCCGCTCTGCTGGCCCCAGACACACTCATCTCTGCCTGTCTTTCCTCCAGGCCTTGGAACACTCTCTCCTCTCTGCCTGACACACGTTTCATCCTTGGCCTTTTTTTTAAAAGATTTTTAAAGAGAGAAACATCAATGTGAGAGCAATACGTCGGTCAGCTGCCTCCTGCACACCCCCTGCTGGGGACCAAGCCGGCCACCCTGGCATGTGCCCTTGACTGGAATCAAACCAGCAAGCTTTCAGCGCATGGGCCGATGCCCAACCAATGAGCCACACCAGCCGGGGCCTCCGCAGCCTTTCGAGCCCTCCTTGCAGCCCCCTGCAGCACCAGTTTGCCCATCGAACTGCTAATGCTTCCGCTGCACACCCTCTGGGCACTGCATTCGTTCAGATTAGGTTCGGCAGACAGTAAGAGAAAACCCCAATAACAGTGGCTTAAAGTTCAAAGAAGTGTATTTTTTCTCTTATTAAAGAAGTCTGGAGGTGGTCAGTCCAGGGCTGGGTTGAGAGCTCCAAGGTCTTCGGAGACCCAGGCTCCTTCTCTTTGTGGCCGCCACGTGACCATCTCCAGGAGGCTGGCATGGAGTGGTGTGGGCTCTGCTGCCCCTGAGGAGCCCGCAGACCTCTCTGCCCTTCCCAGGCAGGTCACCCTCTCACCTCCTCATTTCCCCCAGGCCCTCTCCCATCTCCCTCTGTCTCCAGGACACCCTGTCATGTCTTCAGTGGCCTTCGGTTTTTAGTCGAGGTCAGCTCCATGTTCAGGCCGCTGTGCTCCCCGCCCCACCAAAGTCCTTTCGGCGAGGTGAGCTGCTTACAGCTAGGAAATATGTAGAGAGACAAACCCAAATTTTATGACAATACATTATCCTGCCACCTGCCGGAGTCTGATGGGTAGACCCAACTTCTTCGTCTTTTCCAGATGGGCCCTGAGCAATTCCGGAAGGTTGGTGTAACCTGAACTTGGAGGGCGCAGAGTTGCGTTGCGAACTCGGGGCTCCAGGGACCGGCAGGTCACAGGAAGGCGTGAATCCCACGAGTGGGGGCTGTGGCGGAGCCCTCACTGAGGTCGGCGTCACGCCGAGTGGGGTGCCGCTCCACCCTTAGCAGCACTTCCTCGTTTTCCAAAGGAGTTACAAACCTGCGTCATATGAAACTTTGTAATATTTAACCCTGGCAAAATAATTCGCTTTTGTTTGTTTGTTCATCCTCACCGGGGGATATTTTTTCCATTAATTTTTAGAGAGAGTGGAAAGAGGCAGGGAGAGAGAGAGAAGCATCGATGTGAGAGAGACACATCGATTGGCTGCCTCCCGCACACACCCCAACTGGGGCAGGAATCGAACCTGCAACCCAGATATGTGCCCTTGACGGAAATCAAGCCTGTAAGCCTCTGGTGCCAGTACCAAGGCTCCAACCACTGGGCCATGCCAGCCAGGCCTAATTCACATTTTTAATAGAAAACACCATGTAACACCCCAAAAAAGCAACAACCACACATGCAGCTACCTGCATGGTTTATTCCGTCTCTGAGTTACCAGCTAAGAACACATTTGATGCCAGAGTGTTGGGGACCCAGCACAGCACAAGATGTCACAAGCCCTTAGGAAAAATGATCCTATTTCCCCCACCTGGAGGGAGGCTGTCTCACTGCTTATTAGGGGGGGGAGGGGGGTTGTTCTGGTGATGAGCAGGCGCTGAGCTGGGAGGGTATCAGGAAAGGTATTTCCATATGGATGAGGGCTTAACCCACATACGGTTTAGACGTTTCTCAGTTTATTCCTTTGGACTGGGCTTAAGAAGTCACATTGCCTCATACTGGCACATACCGGCACACCCCCAGAAATCAATGACATCACCTGAAATCTGCAACCAGCCTGCTCATGACCGTGGGGCACCAGGAGGTCTTAGCTCTTGGCAGAAGAGGGCTAGAAACAGATCGTTTGTAATAACAACGATAAATAATTTATTTTACTGCCTATAAGTTAATAAAGTAGAAAAATTATGAAACCAAAGCAAGGAGAAGAAAACCTGGGTACTGGTAGTAGAACATATTTTATTACATAGTCGTAGTTTGGCATAGTCTCCTTCACAGAGCCTATTATTGGCTTTCTTTTTTTTTTTTTTTATCCTCACCCGAGGACATTTTTCCATTTTTTGTTCAGATAGAGTGGGAGGGAGAGAGAGGAAGGGAGGGAGAGAGAGAAACATCGATGTGAAAGGGACACATCGAGTGGTTGCCATCCACACAACCCAACCAGAACCGGGGACAAATCACAACCAAGGTACGTGCCCTTAGCGGGAACCGAACCCGGGTCTCCCCGGCAGGTAGGACCATTTCTCTGTCCTGTCCCTTTGCCACGCGTTCCTGGTGGTGTGATACGCCCTCTGCTGGTCCCTATCAGCCCCTTCTGGGGCCAGGTGATGACAGTCTTTCTCACGCACAGCCTGACCTTAATACACAGCCCATATTTGCGACCCCAAGTAGCGCACACAATTAGATTGTTCACAGCAGAAATAGGGAGTATCATCAAAGACCTTGGCCAAGAGATGGTCCGTCTCAGAGCCAACCGTGAGACTCGCTGCCACTAACACTGGGAGATGAGCAGGGCTTGGTCCATTCCCGGACTTGTGCACATCAAAAGAGGACTGTGTAGTCCGGCTGGTGTGGCTCAGTGGTTGAGCAATGACCCATGCACCAAGAGGTCACCGGTTTGATTCCTGGTCAGGGCACATGCCCAGGTCGTGGGCCAATTCCCAGGAGGCGGCCAATTGATGTTTTCTCTCATCGAAGTTTCTATCTCTCCCTCTCACTTCCTCTCTCTCTAAAATCAATAAAGGAAAAAAAGAGGATTGTGGTGAATAAATCTTCAAAGCAGCAAATAGTTTTGCATAGCCAGTGGTTTCTCCAAACTGCTTCAAAGATTGTCCTTGAGAAGGGAGTGCATGGGAGTTAAAGGATGAGAGCCTTGGCTGGTTTGGCTCAGTGGTTAGAGCGTCGGCCCTTGGACCAGAGTCCCGGGTTCAATTCCGGCCAAGGGCACGTACCTTGGTTGCAGTTTGGTCCCCGGCTCCCGTTGGGGTCATGTAGGAGGCAACAATTGATGTGTCTCTCGCATCAATGTTTTGCTCCCTCTCTCCCTCCCGCTCTATCTGAAAAGAAACAGAAAAATATCCTTGGTGAGAATTAAAAAAAAAATGAGAGAGTGAAGATACGGGAGTGCGAGGTGGCAGCTTTTAAATCCCCATGTGCACTCCCTGCACCCGGCTCGGAGGCACAGCCCACGCCTGGTTGGCGCAGCGGAATCTCTGGGTGACGGCACCAGCCCTGGGAGCCCGATGCCCGCGTCTCTAACTGCACAGTTCCCTTAGGGTTCCAGGGGGGCGTCCAAGGTTTTTGCTCCCCGATGCAGTGGCCCAGTAACAAAGCCAATGACTGCCCAGGTCACAGTCCTGGCCGTGCCCCTCACTTCGTCAGGGTTTAGTTAAGTAACTTCCCAGGCCTTTCTTTTCATGCGTGAATCAGCACCTTCCTCAGAGGGTGTCAGGAGTGGATAAGCTCGTATAGGGAGAGTTCCGACATGGAGAACATTGTCCTCCTGAGTTCCCACTTTC